GTCTACTGGTGCATGTCTGCTCAATAAGAAGGAGCCAACATTTTTTAGCCTTGCTAACAGAAGTTATTCATCAACAGATCTCAGCTTTGCTTCACCCACCCTTTTACCCGATTTAAACTGGGACGTTATAAAAGACCCCTATGGTAGCGACCACTTCCCCATACTCTTAGGTACATTAATAGAAAACGAGTCTCCACCGTTTGCTCCCAAGTGGAAAATTGAAGCAGCAGATTGGGAGCAGTTTAGAACTCTTACTAGTATCTCGTGGGATAAGATTTCATTTTTAGAAATTAATGTTGCTGTTCAGTTTTTTACCGCCTTTATTATTGACGCTGCTTCGAAATGTATTCCTCAGTCAAGTGGTACTGCTGCCAAACGTCGTGTGCTGTGGTGGAATGGGGATTGTCGGAAAGCTCGGAAAAAGCAAAACAAAGCCTGGGGACTACTGCGCGACTCCCCCACTCCTGAGAATCTTATTAACTTTAAACAGATTAAGTCCCAAGGTCGACGAGTATGCCGACAGGCGAGAAGGGACAGTTGGTGCAATTTTTTATCGGACATTAATTCTTATACAGATGAGGCTAAGGCCTGAAACAAGGTAAAGAGGATACGAGGCCAAACAACACACTCTCTTCCTTTAGTAAACACTGATGGCAACAGCCTTGAAGATCAAGCAAACTTTCTGGGTGCACACTTTCAACGTGTTTCCTGCTCTGTGCAATACTCCAACACGTTTCAGCGCCACAAAGCAACTATAGAAAGCAAGAAATTAGATAGAAAATGCACCAAAAATGAAGCATTCAACCATCCATTCAACATGGCTGAGCTGCAAAGAGCACTATACTGCTGCAATGAATCTGCACCAGGTTCTGATCGTGTTATGTACCAAATGCTGAAGAACTTGCCACATGACACACAGAACACCCTCCTACACCTCTACAACGCTGCATGGATTTCCGCCGAGATTCCGGGTGTATGGAAAGAGGCGATTATAATCCCAATCTTGAAACCGGGAAAGGATCTATCCAGTGTGTCTAGTTATAGACCCATCGCACTAACAAGTTGCCTATGTAAAGTCTTCGAAAAAATGATAAACTGCCGTTTAATACATTTCCTCGAAAAAAAAAACAATTTACTAGACCCGAGCCAGTGTGGATTTCGAGAAGGCCGATCCACAACCGACCATCTAATCTGCATAGAGTCGCAGATTCGCGACGCATTTGTCCACAGACAATTTTTCCTCTCGGTATTCTTAGATATAGAAAAAGCTTATGACACCACGTAGCGGTTCGGAATACTTAAAGACTTGTCGCACTTAGGCACACGAGGTCGGATGTTAAATGTAATAGAAAGCTATCTGACTAACCGCAAGTTCCGGTTTCGTGTTGGAAATGCCCTGTCACAATTATTTATACAGCAAAATGGGGTACCACAAGGTGGCGTACTTAGCTGCACGCTTTTCGTCATTAAATTGAACTCGCTGCACCTTTGCATGCCACTAAATATGTCCTATTGCACATATGTGGATGACATCCAGATAGGATTTAAATCTTGCAATTTAGCAATTTGTGAGTGGCAGGTCCAGCTTGGATTGAACAAGGTGGCCAAATGGGCAGATAATAACGGCTTCAGGATAAACCCTCAAAAGAGCACCTGTGTTCTTTTTTCTAGGAATAGAGGCCTCTACCTAAACCCTGAAATTGAGCTTCTTAGGCAACGGATACCTGTGAAGGCTGAGCATAAATTTATAGGCTTAATCTTGGACTCGAAGCTCACGTTTATAACGCACATCAAGTCCATAAAAAACAAGTGCCTGAAAACAATGAACATCCTCAAAGTGCTGTCACGCACAACATGGGGAAGTGACAGGAAGTGCCTCATGAATATATATAAAAGCCTTATACGCACACGCCTAGACTACGGAGCCATAGTCTACCAGTCTGCTACATCGAGCGCATTGAAGATTCTGGATCCGGTACATAATCTTGGCATACGCCTTTCTACGGGTGCTTTTCGCACCAGCTCTGTAGAGAGTTTCTATGTAGAGACCAATGAGCGGTCGCTCCACCGTCGGAGGTCCTATATGTCATTTTGGTATTATTTGAAAGTAAACTCGGATAAGAAACACCCCGCACACAGCATAATAATGATGTGTCCAGTTCTGTTCTTTTTGACAGCCGTTCCTCGGTGAGACGACCCTTCTCACTTCGCGTGAGGAATCTAATTGAAGAAATCGGGGTACGGCTTTTAGAAAACTGTCTGATGGCTCCCGTAACATATCCGCCGCCGTGGCAGTGGCAGCTCATTGACTGTGATTTATCATTTGTATAAATAACCAAACACGCTCCTCTTGCACATATACGTGCGCACTTTCTCGAACTGCAGCTTAAATACTCTTGTCCTGAATATTTTACAGAAGCTTCAAAGTCTTGTATTGGTGTGTCCTATGCTGCCGTTGGTCCATCTTTTTGTGATTCTGGTGTTCTGCACCCTAATTCAAGCTTATGCGATACTGATGGCTGTTAAGCACATTCAGGAATTAAAATTACAACGCACAGTTATATACCCGGATTTCTTGAGCGTCTTAAAAGCTTTAAAATATCTGCAAAAACATAAAAATCATGTCCTTGTGTCACTTTACAGTCTTTTGTGCATGATCCACACACTCAAAGAACATGTAGTAGTGTGCTGGGTGCCAGGACACCGGGAGATCGGGGGAAATGCCTTGGCGGATCAACTTGCTGTATCTGCCCGAAACAAGGCTGCTACCAATACATCCATAACTGTCCCTCCGCTTGACCTGAAGCCCTTCCTTCGACGGGAGCTCAGAGCGTGTTGGCAGCGGCTATGGGAAGACAAACACAAAACAAATTGCACGTAATAAAACCAAGACTTGGAAATTGGCCACCGGTATCCAGATCACGCTACACACAAGTAACGCTCACCAGATTACAAATAGGACACACACACATCACACATGCATATTTGTTATCTGGCGGTGAGCAGCCCATCTGTGACAGATGTGGGGAACCGCTTACGGTTTTTCATATACTTGTTCAGTGCAATGAGCTAGACTCTGAGAAAAAAGCACTTTTTAATACCTTACCGACAGCAACTTCCATTACATCCAGTCATCTTCATCGGTAGAAATCCTCTCTTTAAGCTTGAATCGCTGTTCATGTTTTTAAAAGATATAGTTTTCACTCCATATTTCGAGGTGATCCGTAGCACGACCTCTGTACAGAGGTCGAGGCTGCGGTGGTTCCAATAAAGACAGCACCTGCCTCGCTACCCTTGTGCTCAAGGACATGCATTGACGAGGCATTTGTGCTAACCTCATCTCCTCGATCCAGTTTCATCACCACGGACATTGTCTCTCACTTCCGCTACACACATTTCGCGTCACTTCCATAATTTTAAATACTTGTTTGTCTTAACCCACTTCAGGACGCGGAAGTTTAGGCTTCTGTACAGCCACGAAACAGTACCATAGTTCATATCCTGCACATATTGTGTCAAATCATGCACCATTGCCATTTTATCAGCATTTTCCATGGCGCTCTTTGGCCAAGTATGGCCCTTGCGCCATTAAAACCCATATATCATCATCATCATCCAGTGAGAATCAAACCCCAAATGCTCTGCTGTCAATCAGGTACTCTACTACAGAGCGAAGACAGGTTTTGAAACTGCTTTGGAAAAGGCCCTATGCAGGCGTAATGTTAGAGCAACATCACTTGTGGATGCAGTGCTGGCTATCTAATTTTATAACACAGCATTTAACATTACATACGTACTTTTCTGACACACACAATATTTCGGGTTGGCATTGATTGTGGTTGCAGTGATGGCTGCATTTTTATAGTATATTTGCATCACTATGATTTAGCCAGCTATATTTGTTCGACCCTGGAGAAAAACGCTAACGAAATTTGTTTGAGATATTCACACTATCGCACCTTAGCGTGCGTTTAGTATTATTAACACTGTAGTGTTACAATATATATACATAATATATATTGTATATATTATATACATATTAAACGTATTATATACATTATATATGCATAATATATATTGTATATATACAATATATACATATACAATATATAACAGGCCACCACATTTCAAAACAAAGAATCCAACAATCTCATGCATGTGCATATGTGTTTATGTTAACAAACGGAAGAGTAACCAGTGCAAACAGTAAACAGTCACATAGTTATCAACCTAACAGTCTACCGTCACATAAATATCGTTGTCACGTTAAGGAAATCGAAAAAATCACTTATATCGGTCAAGAATGCCACTGTCTTTCAAGGGGCCCTGAAACAGTTTTTCTAGTAACCATGGAATGGAAGAGCGTATTGCATCACGAATTCAATTCTGCAAAAAATTTAAGAATCCGTCCAGTGCGGGTGGAGTTGCAAAGGTTTGTCGCATGCTGCAATCGCATTCTACCTTCTCTCGTCCCGACGAAAGCGCTGGAAGCTAAGCTGGGAGGAATGGCAAGGCCACGGGAAAACGTCACGCACGCCTCGTGACCTTGAGCATTTTTTTCTTTTTTCTTCAAATGCACGGCTTTCTCAGTGTGATAGCGCGAGCACGCGTGTACAAGTAGTGGCCCCCCGCGGCGATCTTTGTAACTAGCGAGCGCGCAATGTTAAAAATAGCGAATGGCTGAAAGATGGGCTTGCTACGTGTGATTTTTGGGTATAGTGCGTGATTAGTCGAGAGAAGAGAAAGCAATTTTTAGCCGACTTTGATAATTTATTGTGAATTCCAGGCCGCGTGCTGCGCTATAATATTTGGCTCGCGTGTTGTCGGGAGCCTCTACTACCGATCGGCAGTATTTTCTGACCATGCTCAAAAAGTGTTGCAGGGCCCCTTTAAGAAAACTTTCAGTGCTTTAACTGCGCTCTTTTGTGAACCTCTTGTTTCCTTAAACTGAATGGTCTTCGTCCTAAAGCCACTAAGCATGAACCTGCCCCGTATTCCAGGCACAGCAGCTGAAGGATGCCTCACTTCTTGTGGAAATGAGCGGGGAATCTTACAATGAGCAGGTATATATACTTTTCTTTACGCTTCGGTATATAGATTAGAGCACGCCTATCTCGCACTCGCGCGCCTTCGGCAGAGTACTCTTGCTCCAAGAGACGCCACAATTTGTTATGAACTGCCACGGCATGCCTCGCTAGCATGGCAAGCAATGTCTCCGGGACTTGAAAATGCGGAAAAGTGCCTGTGCACGCTGCGCCTGCTTATAAAATGTCATCTGAGTACCACTGTGCCGTTATCGCATGCGACAACAACCAGCTAAAGAGGAAGAGATTGCTGAGAACTGCCTGTGAAGTTCACAGCGCATCGCTGGAATTGCGCAGGTGTGGTGTCTTTACCTTTCACCGGTTTCCATCCGCAACAAAAAGCGCCGAACTTCGTTGCCAATGGATAAATGCCTTGAATAGAAAAGACTACGAGCCTAGTAAATACGAGCCTAGTTAATATGTATGAGTAAGTATATAGACTATCTGTCTGTATTCAAGTGCGACGCCAACTTCCACACTTACAAGAAGCCATTTAGGCACCACGGCGCCGTCTTCAGATGCGAAAGCAACCAGCGCAAGGGTAAGATGTTACTCAGCACTGTCCGTGAAGGTCACAACACGATGCGGCAATCGTACGTGTGCGGGGTTTTCCGATTGCCCAGATTTCGATCCGCAACAAAAAACGCCGACCTCCGATGCCAGCGGATATAATCGCAATCAGCAGGAAAAACTACGAACAGTAAATGTGTACGAATAGGTATACCTATTGCGTAGACTCAAACATAACGCCAGCTATTCCGCTTTGCAGCAGCGATTCGCGCGCAGTATGACTGTATATAGTATGCGGCACCAAATCATTACCGTATTCATTCGCAGGCCGCATGATAATGATATGATATATTACGACTCACGCGTGGATGCACGCACAGCGCACGTTTAGTACCGGCGTACTATCGTGATTCAAGGAGACGTAAACGGCGCGGAAAGCATGGCTGTCGAGTCGGTTGAACTGCGACATGCCTTTGCATACTGTCATTAGGCGACTCTGTGCTTTCGGTCGGTGCCACCGTAGCATATTAAAATCTTGTTCTGGTTGACACTTTTGCACCACGTGTGTTCCGAGTACTTGTCTTGACTGGCAGACTATAAACACATACATGAGCGCAAGTGCATGGCAGCCAAGGAACGCCGCAGTTCGACTGAGTCGAAATCAACGCTTTCCGGTGTTCGCGTTTCTTTCAATCGCGATACCTAATGAAGTTACTTCCGCAGTCTTCATTGCGCGTGCTGTAGACACTCCGAACTGTCGAGGAAGGTGTCCTTGATGTTTGACACGAAATGAGCACGAAATTCTAGTAGAAGAGCGCGAAACATCCTTACAGCCAGACTTGAGTTGTGAAGTTTCGCGTTTGATTTGCGGAGTGTCTGCTCGCGTGGCAGTGCAGGGTGTTGCTTCGCCTCGCTTGCAACAAATGGTGCCACGTGCTTTCCATCCGCAATACGCCTCGCGGCAATATAACAGCAAGCACTGAGCTCGCTGTGTTCTGGTGTTCAGAAACATGTCGACTAGAAGAGTTGCTTGCTGGGAAAGTTGGTACATACTTAGTTAACTCGACGTTTTGTGGCTTTTGTAGCTTACTCAACATGCCGACGCCTTCATGTTGCTGTTTTTCCAGGTCCAATTTTTGCACAGAACGGTCGACCCAGAGGCCCTGTGCTTTACAGGGGGAGGTTTCTTCCATCTTAACAAGGCTCTCTTGGTGTCTGTGAGTGTCGCAGCAACAGGTTTCTTACAATTCATTAGTCATCACGTGACCAGGAAAGTGGGAATTAAATCAGGGTAAGTCAGGCGTTCTTTGAGGGCCTGCAATAGGTTCGGTCAGATATGCGCCTCCCTGCAGAGAAAGCAGACTAGAAGTGGAGTGGCATTTGTTTCGCACTGAATTTCGTGCAGGTGTGATGTAGAAAGTTCCCTTTAACTGCTTTGGCAGATGGGCAGCTGTGGAAAGCGGAGATTAAGAGCACATAAATACATATCTAACTGGAAGCTCATCGCCTACTCCATCATTGTATTGTTGATAATGTAAATGCGCGCCAGCACTTGATGAACGCGCAGCTTTGCACAAGCACTGGAGTGATAAAACGTGTCTAATAGTTGAGGCCTGGCATATTACCGTTCATTACAAAAAACAGCAAGCTGTACTTGTTGTGTTTCTTTCTGCACCAGACAGGTTGTTTTGGCGTGTAAACTCATTTGTTTTGTCTACCGAAGTGCTAGCTGCGACAAAATAAAGGTTGTTACAAGTTCGAATTACAATTACAGAAGTTATGGCAGCGTTCTTGCTTTGCTGACGGCTTCTTGAATAGGAAGGAAGGAAGGAAGGAAGGAAGGACGGACGGACGTCCGGACGGGAACAACAAGAGAACGGACGGGAACAACAAGGACGGGAACAACAAAAGAACAGAAAGAAGGCTGAGAGGACGGACGGGAACAACAAGAGAACAAGAGAGAAGGCTGAGAGGTTAACCAGGCACATACCCGGTTTGCTACTGTACTCTGGGGGTACGGGAAGGGGGAGTATAAAGATGAGAGAGACGAAAGAGAACGAGACAAAAACATTGCCAGTCAATGGGCTGACGCGAATGCAGTGGTACTGGCACTACACAAAAGTTAAAGGCGTTCAAGTAGGCATGTAGTCCTGAAAGAGTGCAAGACGTCTTTGACTGCCTTTTTAGCCGATGAAGAACGAGGACGGTGCTCCAGCAGCATCTGCACAGAGAGTGGCCGATCGTTCAATTGTCGCAATGTGTAAGAAAGTTTTCGTCTCTCAGAGGCAAATCGAGGGCAATGACGTAGCAGCTGGTTGATGTCTTCTTCGGTGACGCAGACGTCGCAATCTGCACTGTCAATCAAGCCAATGAGGGTTGTATAAGCTTTTGTGAAGACAACTCCCAACGAAAGCCGACAAAGAAGCGAAGCTTCTCGCCGACGAAGTCCGGATGGAGGTCGACGTTCCAGCCGAGGGTTCATTTGATGGAGTCTCGTACGTCTTCTGCTTGGGATGTTCCACTCCAGCAGACACTGACTATGTGCCAGGTGATGAAGTTGCCTTGCAGCGCCCGTCCTTGACAGAAGAATCGGAAGGGTGTGCTCTTCTAGGGAAGATGTGTGAGCCACGTTGTCTGCGGAACCATTGCTACTGATCCCACAATGACCAAGTAGCCACTGAAAATTGTAAGACGTACTTGTGGAAGTGTCAGGCACCATGGAGGATACACCAGTTTCTCCGCAGGCGTAAAGCCTGACGTAAACGATGCACAATGTGCACAGACAATTGCACTAAATTTCCTGCAGGGCCTCTCAGTAGCGAGGCTCGCCAAGGGTGGGATGGGCTCTTAGCATGTTGCCTGAGGTACTTACGTAACGTTTCAGTGGTTATGTGCGTCGTGATCGGATACTTTTGTGCAAGGGCAATGGTTTCAGCCGTCGATGCACAGCGGGGCGAACCAAGGCTGTTATGCAGGAGTCCAAACCAAACTTCATTGCTTTTGCAAGAGCAAAAAACTAGCGAGCGAGCCCGGCTGACGCAATTTCTGGCAATGGTGTATCTTACGCTACGCACGGCAAACTCCCTCCTCCCAAGGGTTCCATCCAGACTGAGGATGCAGTAGATGTCATATAGCCCGGCGCGTTTTACGCAACGCGAGGCAATAACCACTCGATCATGAATGCAATACAGCGGTGGTCCTGATTGGAGGCTGCTGATGCAAGGACTTGGTGGTCATGGTTGGAAGTTGCTGACATAAGGGTCACCGGGGCCTATAAAATAACCAAGCGGCGCGACGACAAGCAGCAGACGATAGCGTCAGAGCGTCCGAAGACATATCGGCTCTTTGAGCTTCTTAAGGGAACGGTCACCTGACAGCAAAAGTGCTGTTTGCGAGTTTTTTACAGTAATTTGTAGCTTTGGGTCTTGTAATGCTGAAATTAGATCGTAATTGTTGGAACGCATCCTGTAATCAGTGGTAGCTGCATTTATTCAGAATGATTTTGTGTCAGTTCGAAACGTCCGCCTAGCCCCGCCGTGATAGTCTAGTGGCTAAGGTACTCAGCTGCTGACCCGCAGGTCTCGGGCTGGAATACTGGATGCGGTGGCTGCATTTCCAATGGAGGCGGGAATGTTGTAGGCCCGTGTGCTCAGATTTGGGTGCACGTTAAAGAACCCCAGGTGGTCTAAATCTCCGGAGCCCTCCACTACGGCGTCTCTGATAATCGTATAGTGGTTTTGGGACGTTAAACCCCACATATCAATCAATTGAAACGTCCGCCTAAATACCATGAGAAATTAGTGCCACGCAGCTGTGCATCGCCTGAAACTACGTGCGCTCAAGCTTCAGAGTACTGAAACAAGCTGTTTTCGAATAAAGGGACCCGCGGGCGGTGCTTGATCTCCTAAGTGACACAGAGCGCGGTATAGGGGATGCCGTCAGTTCCTGGCGTTGAAGAACGTCTACACAAAGCAAGCGCAGCCGCTAGTTCATCCATTGAAAACGACACTCCATTGGGGGATCACGTGAGAATATAGAGCAGTCGGGCGTCCTCGTCCCAGTTGAATTTGCCCCGGAGGCGATCCTTCGGCAGAAAGATTCTGCAGCGTGAATCTCTTCGCAGCGCAAGTGAAGTGCCAGAGATTTAAGTGTGTAGCACTGGCCGATGGTTGTACGAAGACCCCGGACAGCTCTACAGATTAGCGATAGAGGCCTTCTTGGATCCAAGGACTCGCAAAAAGATACCCATCGTTGCTTATTCAGCTTGTCCATGTGACGCTGTATTTTCTTTTGCGTGTCTGGCCACACACAGATCATCAAAAGACTTCGTGCGTCCATAACGTCTTTCAGCTCGATGACGAATCTCTCGAATTTTTTCGTGTTTGATGTCCATATCACGGCGTGATGAGTTCACCGTAAGCGAACACGTTGCGCACTCTAGGTTGAACGTTGCGTTATTGCGCACTCTAGGTTGAAGGATGAGCCGCCAACACTGTCTTTCATGATTAATTTGTATTCTTTCCAATCGGTGCACTGGACAGCTCTAGAGGACTTGAGACTTGGAAAGCAGTCAATCTTCAGGTATGTTGGAATGTGATCACCACCTCTTGTTTCCTAATACGATAACCAGTGCAGTCTTCTGGCGAACGAGCATGAGAGAAAAAAATGAGCTCCAGGCAACTACTATATATAAGCCGATCCACGCAGATCAGTAGGGCTGCCATCATTCACGAGGCTAAATTCACACTCAGAAGTGAAAGCCACTAATTGTCTACCTCTAGTACTGACCCTGGAGCTTCCCCAAAAGTAGGGGTGGGCATGGAAGTCGCCAGTTATCACCCATGGCTGTAGAGTTGAATTCAAAATTACGCGCAAACGCTCATTGTCTAAACGACTTTATGGAGATAAGTAGGCTCCGATTATTGTGATTGTGGTATTGTTATTTTTCATTGTTAGGCAAACATACTGGTTTTCTTCGTCAGGTGGTACAAGGTGATGAACATAAGCCAAGTCGCGCCGTATGAACACAACAACCTTGCTGCGCTCTCCGTGGGTCAAAGACATAAAGCACTCATATCTAGACAGTCTGATGTAAGCTTACAGGTTCGGTTCACAAATCACAATTATGGAGAACTGGTTCGTGAATACATATTGCTGGAAGTCGTACATACGCACCCTAAGCCCTCTGTCATTCCAGTGAAGGGCAGATGCGTTCTGGACCTCCTCTCGAAAGGATAGCATGTCGCGGGCCAAAGTTTTATTCTAGAGCTGCAAGCACCGGACTCAAAGTGTTCAGCAGATGCAGTGCGCTCTCCGCTGACGGGGTTTTCATGTTGCTTAGGAGCATGCGCATTGTTCTCATGAGGGTCTGCAACATGTTAATCACGTGGCGATCCTCAGTCGTGTTTGCATCAGTGGTTCTTGAAGGCATCGAGATTGGGGGAATTCGATGCATCTCTGAATAAGGCTGTGTTCGTGGAAGTGAAGGCCACTCTTAACGATTTGGGAGTGTTGACCCTGCTTTTGTTTTCCGTGTATCCGGCTTCGCAGAGCTTGATAATCGGTGGCCAGTTGTTCTTGTGGAAGATGGCGTGTCTATATTGGCAGATGTCAAGCTTCGTAATGATCTTCTGCTGTGAGGCCACTGTCGCCTGACAGTAGCAGCAGCTTTTCTGTGCGTCGAATTGTCGCGCACCATGCATTTGAGCACCGCACGCTCATTCCGCATTCGCGGTCAATCTTAAGACAACGCTTTGTTTTATGAGCGCTTTGGCAGTTAAAGCATTTGAACACAGTCGCGTGGCAGGTGTATTTTGAATGAGGTTCAGCACACCGTAGGCACACAACATTGCTGGTACATACATCTTTTACGTGTTCCACCTTGAAACATCTGTAGCATTGTAGGTGCTTTGGTATGTATGGACGGACCTGGTGGCGAACGTGGCCAGCTTTGACGAGCGGTGGAAGACGTTTCTCTCAAAAACAGGCTACAGACTATGTGAATGACCGAGCCTTGTGACGTACCTGATGAGGATGCCTTCCGTAGTTGGCTTTATCAAGATATGACCATCGTCAGTGAGGATGAAAATGCCCACGTCATAAATGACGCCAACACTTCTGTTACAGCCTGTGGGGATCACTGATTTAACTTTGACTTGTTCGTTTCCGTGATGTTTTGTAGGCAGTGCAGTGCACCACGGTGTAGATCATCAACTGC